TGGCTTTACTCACTCACTCTCACGAACACAAAAACTCTTTTTTTCAGATGACGCGACAAGCTTAGCTACGTGATATCCCTACTGAAGGAGGGCAGCTCATGTAGAAACAAGTTTAATATCACATGATATTTTTATCTAATAATACAATGTTATGTACTGACACATGTTATTATTTTATTAAAACAGAATGTTACAATAACAATAAGTTCGTTTCATGTAAATTTTTCTCCTATCAAATATTCTTTTTCACTCAATAGATAGCCTTCATGAAAGGAAAAAGAATAATTCATTGAAGCCCAACAAAATTGTAACCAAAACTAAACTAACAAACTGAAACCCTAGTTACCAACCTCGACTCCTTTAGGCCATCAAGTATCCCATTTTCCAAACACAGCTCTGATCTCAAGTAGTTCCACTGGAAATGGAAAAGAAAAGTAGTCCGACACCTCACACACTCACAGGGTTCAGAATTCAGAGTGAGATTATAGCCAAGATATCTGCAGAGCAGTCTAGGATATCAAAAAAAGAATCAAAGTACAATCTCTCAGAGTCTCGCATGGCAACATCCCCAGAAAATGTCACATCCTTATTATTTTCCAACAAAAAAATTTGTCGCTTTCTAGCTATTACTTATCAAACAAAAAAAAAAACACCTAACAGGATCCTCTCCGATAAGGTTACTGCCGTCTCCTCTAGCAGAAATCTTCAAACTCCAATTGATATCAAGTTTGAAATGGAACAACTCAAGGCTGAGTGGATTGTGACCTGTACAAGAGCACGAGACAAATCTTCACATCTTTTTAACATTGGTTTTCTCGTTAGAACAATAAGATACATATGAGCCTTGGTAGCAGGAAACGAACGGGGCACTCAAGGCTAATTGCTGGATTTTGACTATTTGCTTAATACCAAGTGACAGTTTGCACCCTTCTTTAGTTCCTTTGGTTTACCCTTGGAATAGGATTTAAGAAAATTCCACAATGTAACGGTGTACAAAATATATACTGATGTATTAGATAATTGAATTTTAACTTATTCAATCTAACTGTTCAACATCAATATAACTCATATACTAATGTATCGTAAAATAACAACTTATTTATATTCGTGAGCTTTATAACAATAGTAAGTCATGCTTTCAACAAATTCTATCTAGTAGTGTAATTATGGATGAATTAATGGTGACAGGGACGTAAGTTGATTACAACACGAAGTAGCTGTAGGCCCACCTGATTGAGAGAGAACCTTTAATAGTTGAGAACTTATATTGTACATCATCACAATGATATTATCATTTAATAATACAAATTTTATTCACATAATTTGCATTATTGAATTGCGTTACATAACGATAAACATGTTACATATAATTTATTATTTATTTGTTATTGGACCAAAAAGAATAAAGTTGGTAAAAATGATAAGAGAGGGTAGAAAGAGAATGAGATATGAACCATTGCAAGTAAATTATTGGCCTAGCTGACGTGTCATGTTAGCGTGTCAAGCAGAGGCGTGGACGAGGGTGTGCCATATATAGGAGCAAAAACATAGGACCCCCAAATATTCGACCCTTCAAAATATTCATGCCACAAGTGATTACATAAAGATGCTTCAAAGTTTTTGTTGCTATGGTTGTTGAAATTGAACTGGTTGTTGTTCAATGTTTGATAGTGGTCAGAAAACATTGAAATGCCTTTGTGAGTCTTCTTAACTTCTAAAAGAGTTGATTATTGTAGCGAAGCCACCATCTTGACATATCTTGGCCCAAGTCGATGCATGTTGCCCGACACCTGGAAGATGATGTAGCCAAAAATGTAAATGACTAGTAAAAATATAAATAAATTATTGAGACCGATCAGGGTGTGTCACAATTGGTCCCTTAAAAAAAAATTGAAAATGAATTGTAGTTTTAAAGTTTACTTTTGTTTTAGTTATAGGTTTCCTTTCTAATATCTGTGTATTGTTAAAAAGTTATTTTAGTATTTTCTTGAAAGATTATGTCAAGGAGGGTGTCGTTTATAGTTTTACAGGACCTCTAATATTTCAACCACGAACGTACTTTGAATGTAGATCATGTCCATAATCTAACCTTTTAAACATGAAACAGTATGAAATCCATGTTGTGATCTTTCAATGTTGGGGATTATCTACATGACTGTCCCTCATGGACGAACTGAAAAAGTGTGAAATATTCGCACATAATATAGCTCATTGAAGAAGGAAGTAGAGATTTTTTTAGTATATTTCAATTTTTCAAGGTATTTTTTATACCTAAAATCCAATGGTAAAGTTTAATGATTAAAATTTCAAAGTATAAAATACTCTAAAAACACTACAGAATTTTTTTGAAACAATGTTCATATTCAAACCAATAAAGTTTATAATTAAATAAGAGATTTTTTTAGTGTACTTGGAATACTAGCCGGATCATATGCCATAATATAAATGAAGTAACACTAAAAATATACTTTTTGCTATTTATATTATAACATACAATATACTAACTTATGTTCTTAGTACATGAAAAATCTCTTCATGTGAAAAATGAAGACTATCATTCTCCCAAGTGCTCTTTATTTTAAATAATTAAACTAACTGCACTGGGTTACATGTTTAATTAACTTTATTTTTTCTAATTAACTAAAGCTAACTGCAGTACAAGGTTGATATATTGGTGACTGGGGAAGGTCCTACTGCATCTGCAAGTACATGTAAATTAATTTGTGACCCTTTTTAGAAACAGTTGGCCCCCAAAAAAACCTAGTAACAACTAACAACTAACCTGCCATTACTATTAAAGTATGGACAATATGTTTTGTTTACTTTTATTAACCAACAAACTTGTCACAACCAACTATTGTACTTGCACCTGAGACAAGAAAAAAAATAATGAACAAGGATGGTCTGCCTTTTCATTTTTGATGTCTTTCCGTATCCTTCTGTTTGTGTGATTACGGTTAAATTACGTCAATATTTTATATTACTATTCATTTTTGTCTTATTATCTCTATAAAAAAAAAAAAAAAATGTTGATGTGGCTTAACTATGATTACACAAAACAGAAGGGCACAAGAGGGTACTGAAAGTGGAAGAGCAGACAATCCTTGTCCAAAAATAATAACTCTTTATTGCCTTTGTCTGATTTAAATACATTTTTATATCCTCGAGAATTGATATTAAAATATTTTTATTTATTATAATGTGATTATCGAAATTAGTCGATTTCTTAAATTTCTATGCGTTTAGTAGTATGTACATAGAAGTTTAAGTTTCAAACTAAAATTAATTTAAATCATATTATTGCTAGCTCATTATGATGTTTAGTCCATTCTCTCACACCATTAGAATGGATAAATATCATTTGTTAAAAAAATATTTGTAAAATCAAGAATAAGCTAAACTAAGGGCTAATCAGTTTCATACTTACTCCTTTCCCCTTCTCGATTCATGACTTCCAATGTACAAAAGTATCTCATTAAGATCATAAAACACAAAGTCTTTGCATGTATGTTAAATTGTAATTTATCTGCAATGGAAAATAACTCCTTAGGCCTTCCACAATAAATGAAAATGAGTTTCATTCCCATAAGTAAATTTTTCTACACACAGCATATGGCGCTTTATTGCAATGGCAGAACACAATCATACTTATGCACTTGAGTGTGGATTCAATCCCCACCAACTTTCCTCCCCCTAACAACTAACTGTTTAATCCACTAATGGTATCACTCTACCAAAAAAAAGATAAGAATTTTTTTGCATACATGTCAAATTGTAATTTGTAGCAATGAAAAATGACTCATTAGGCCTTTCACACTGGACATGTTAATTGAGTTTGATTCTAATTTTATAGGAATCAAACTTCTATACTGAGCAGGAAAATTTGAGTTACAAGAGAGTGATTCCAATTAGTGAGTTTAATATATTGAAAAAAAAAAAACTTTCCTCATTTTATATAATGACATATAAAATACCACTTTGTATTCGAGGCATATTAAAAATTTCTCATAAATTAGGAAGTAGACTTGTTAATTCTATTAAACCCACACTACCAAAATAATTGTTGTGTGTTGTATAAGAATCAAAGTTAAAATTCAAATTCATATGTATAAAAATCATATTCAACTTGATTATTGTGTGTGAAAGACATGACATGACATGTATGTAGCCAAGAATCATAAAACACTACTCAACTGCTGCAAATTCATTAGTAGCTCTTGTTTCTACTCAATTACAGATAAAAACTTGTCCAAATAAATAAAACTATAAATAAACACACGTTCATTTGTGATTAGATAAAGTAGCAGGAGTTGCTACTAAATTTACAGTAAACGAATAATGTTCAAAATCATATTAATTAGATGAAAGCAGGAATTGCAATTTGCACTATCCAAGTTATGTTTAGGAGGGTGTAGAATTGACTTAATAAAATATAAAGGAAAAGTGAAAGCACGAGGGGATTTGATTATTGGGAAAAAAATGTCTACTCAAATCACTGTAAAAGCACAATAATCAAGAGAACAGGGGCAAATTAGACCTTTGACACCAACTTAAGGCAAAAATGATGGGCCCCATGCATCATCATGCACATGGGCACCCATATCCCAGCAAAAAAGAAAGCAAAAGGCTTCAAAATCTTAGAGAGAGAGAGAGAGAGCGATTTGTAAGATCTGTAAAAACGACAGTTGTGAGTTTGTGTAGTAGTAATTATCAAGCGCGCAAAAGGAGCTTCTCGTAAAGATGATTGATGATTCGGTGCCTCTTCATCAGAGAGAGAGAGTGAAAGCTCCATAAAGTACATACTCTCTCTCTCCTCTCTTTCTCTCTCTTCTATTCTGCACTTTGCTGTTGCTGCATTATTTTTGTACAGTCACCATAGACTCCCAGACAATGTGTACCACTTCCCTCTCACTCACACAATTTGCACCAACAGACTCTCTCTCTCTTTCTCTCTCTCTCTCTCTCTCTCTCTCTCTCTCTCTCTCCCCGCCCCTTCTTTGGCTCAGAGCTGGCATGGGTCACTGTCAGGTGTGTGCTTTTCACTACCCCTCCACATTCACCAACTTTATCACTCTCTCACTACCACTCCTTTAGAGAGAGAAACAAACCAAACTACCCCTTATCTCTCTATCAGTTGATGACCCTCCCAAAGTAGTATTATGAAGGGGCTGTAGAGGACAATAATGGATATGGGCTCGAGCTCTATGACCGAGTCAGGGAGCTCTTCCTCCTCTTCGCCGCCCAACTCCTCCGCTGAGTCACTCAACGGCTTGAAATTCGGCCGGAAAATCTACTTTGAGGATGGGGGTTGTGGAGCTCTGCACAAATCATCATCAGGGTCTGCTGCTGGGTCTTCCTCCGCCGGGGCTACGCCGCCCAAGAAGCAAAGGGGCAGCGGAAATTTGGGTCAGCCGCCGCGGTGTCAGGTGGAGGGCTGCGAGGTAGATCTGAGTGGTGCCAAAGCTTACTATTCCAGGCACAAAGTCTGTGGCTTGCACTCTAAAACCCCCACTGTTATTGTTGCTGGTCTTGAACAGAGGTTTTGCCAACAGTGTAGCAGGTCAATCAAATTTTCAAATTTCATTGCTGGCTATTTTATTTACTTATTTGCAGAGGAACCCCAATTGTACATTACATCTTACAGTGTCAAGTTTTTGGTGGGTGCTTGGTGGGGTTCTTTGTGTTTTAGCTATGATTGTTTCCCATTTGACTTTTGTTTGAGTGAGTATATTGTGTTATATGTGTGTGTGTGTATCTTGTTCTTTGGATAATGTTTTTCTGCGTGTTAGCTGCTTTGGACCTTGATGGGGGGCTTTGCGTTTACTTTCATGGAGCTGTACCATTTAACATATTACTCATCCCAGATAAATTATGACTCATGACTGCTTGCAGCAATAGCGATTTGAGTAACACCTTGGGTTGAAACAAATGATTAATTCTTTTTCATTGTTGTGCCACTTCTTAGAGTTATAAAAGTCCTTGTGATTGATTTGATAACCACGGTATCCATCACGTTTACAAATCTGCTGTTCAAGTACAAGTTGAAATTTAGCATTTGATGTATTTACCTGTGGTAGTAGATGGTTTTCTGGATCATTTAGTCTCTATGATGGTTCTTTTACATTTTGGTCCCCTAAAATCCTCGAGTATGATATTTTTGGAGAGTTCACAATCTGTTACTGGATCCATGTGATGGTAGGTCTGCTGTTAACAAACAAAATATTACGTGCCTATTGAAGGAGAGCATGGATATTTCCTTCACCTATGCTGTTATACTATTTGCTAGATATGTCATGTAAATACTTTGCTTCAGCATTTACTGCTGTGGAGCGGCAGCAAACTTGTACACGGTGTTGTCTCTTGTTTTTGTTTTTGTCGGTACTTCAGCTAGGATGTTCTTAAATGTGTGTTTTCTAATGCCTTTTTCGCTGAGGGCAGTTCTTCTGATTAGATTTGTATTAGAACATTAACAAGAAATAACCCTAGTTACCGTCTACTTTTGCTTTTGTTAGTTTACAAATTTCAAGTCTTTAGCTCAGTCCCTACGTTAATGATAAACAATATTCTTACCTTGCATTTCTCAGGTTTCATTTACTTCCTGAATTTGACCAAGGAAAACGTAGTTGTCGTAGACGCTTGGCTGGACATAATGAGCGTCGTAGAAAGCCACAACCAGGATCCGTACTGTCTGCGCGTGGCAGACTTTCGTCGTCTCTCTACGGTTAGACGTCATCATATCATTTGTTGAGCTCTTTTTATTTATTGGTTGAATCATAAGTTGCACTCTGTACCTGTCAAATGTGCGTATCCTCTTACACTACTTATAAACTGCTACAAAATCTTCTACTTGAAATGATAGAAAACAGCAACAGAGTTGGAAGCTTTCTGATGGATTTCACTGCATACCCAAGGCTTTCTGGGAGGGATGAATGGACGACAACGAGAACTTCTGAGCGAGCACCTGTTAATCAAAATGCCAATGACGCAGGGAAGTTTCTACAACAGCCGTGGCAGAGCAACTCTGAGATTTCTACATCCGGCTTTTACCTACAAGGTTCAGCAGGCGGGACTAGTTATCCTGGTCCTGGAATTCCTCCAGGAGAATGCGTCACAGTAGTCACTGACTCAAGCTGTGCTCTCTCTCTTCTGTCAAATCAGCCATGGGGCTCTCGAAACCGAGTATCGGGTGCTGGGATGAATTCCTTGATGAACACTCAAGGGGTACCTGTGGCTCAAACAGTCCCTCATTCTGCAAACTCCAATCACTTTCCGACCACTTCGTGGGGTTTCAAAGGAAATGAAAATGGTAGCAGCTCACACGGGATGCTTCCGGATCTGGGTCTCGGTCAGATCTCGCAGCCGCTTAGCAGTCAGTACTCTGGTGTGCTGGAGCTGTCTCAACAGGGTAGGAGGCAGCAACACATGGAACTCGGACACACCAGGGGCTATGACTCCACCAGTCAGCAGATGCACTGGTCGCTTTAAAACCATGGAATCTGCTTTGCAGGTTTTATGCCTTTTATGGAAGAACCCTAAACTGAGCTTATTTTGTTTAAAAGCTTAACTAAGAAGGTTTTATGCCTTTTATGGTTGAACCCTGAACTGACTATGTATAGTTCGCCTTCAAGGCTTGATCTTCCTACCTAGCAATAAAACTACTATTTGGATGTTGAATATGCATTAGTGGTTTGTGTTTTTATTTATTTAGTGACGGGTTTGAAGTGGACTAACAAATTTTCCAAGGGAGAAGTGATTTTCACAATCCCGTTCTCTCATTTGCAGTTTTTTTTTTTTTCTTTGAATTCGTAGATTCGCTTCTCAATAGTTTGTGTCTCGATTTGATTAGTCAGTACCAATGTTTTAAAAGACGTGCCCCGAGGCGCGCCTAGATGGCTTTGGAGGTAGGGCGGGAGTGATAAAGCCTCTGCCCAGTGGGAGTAGGCGAAAACTTGCCGAGGTGTGGTCGAGGCGAGACTAGGCGGCTGAGGCGCGCCGAAAGGCAGTTGGCAGGCATTCCTAGATCCATCCGCGACCCAAAATCGAAGTAGAATGCTGTGTTTTCAGGCTCTGCCATCTGGGTTTAGGATTGCAGGTGTGCGGCGTCTTCACGAGGAAGACGACCGTGAAGAAGAAGGAATTTTTTTTTTATTTTAAAGACTTGGTCCAAAACGACGTCGTTTTGGCCAAGTCTTTAATTTTTTTTAAATGACTTGGCCCAAAACGACGTCGTTTTGGCCAAGTCTGTTTTTCTTTTATTTTTAAAACCCTAAGAGTCCCTGTTTGATCTGTTTTTCTCACCTGTCCCCTATTATTTAAGGTCTCGTAAGGCTTCGTCTCACGCCTCATGTCTCACGTCTAGGCCGGGCTATCATTCGGACGTCTCGTCCACGCCTTACGCTTTTTTAATACATTGGTCAGTACCATCATTTGGCATTGCCACGTGGTAGTATTGTACTAAAGGGAACGGAGAGTGCGGAATCACTTGCTACAAATTGTGCTACAAAGATTCGTTGTTAGCCCTAGGGCTTTGGGAAAAAGATGTACGGATGGATGGAGTGTTTGTCTGTTGATATTAAAGTGAAGGGAAATCCGCCGAGCCCGCATGGACCAGTTTCTTCTAAATAAATTTTGAAGAAACTAGTAGAAGGATGAACATGTTAACAATTTTTTTCCCTTCTGTTTTTTCCGTCAAAGAATTTAACAATAACAACCACCAAAACAACAAAATTTAGTAAAGGAGATCATCTGCATGACCACACACAAGATAGAATTATCACCACCTAGACTGGAACAAGGCTCTCCACATAATTCACTCCTGTCCGAAATTTGTTCATTTCTCCATGACTGAGAATCTCTCTTTTGTGTTACTTCTAGGGTCATACACAATCAAGTTTTCTGATAGCTGACTATCATTATACGTCGATCCTTCCAAACACCTACAAAACCGGGATCCTGAATATATTTTGGATCTACTTCTAAGCTGTTCAGCCCAAGCTGGCTTTTAGCAGTACTAGCAGTACTACTACTAAATCACCCAGAGGGCTTCGATGAAATATTCTCCGTCTGATGAAGACTTGCTAGAATTGCAGCAATAATGGTATCCTGTAAGCATACACGTGTCCATCCTCAGGACAACACAATTCTTTTGGTGGAGGCCTCACATGGAAAACCTCACCATGTAAGCTGAACGACACAAGACAGTACACGCCCCTATCTGCTGTACCAACCAATAAAACACTCCATTTGAGGTAGTCGCGAAACATGCTATACAAGTTTTACATGATAGGCAGCTCTAATTTGTTTTTGGCTTCTGTCCACGAATTTGTGCTTTTGGAGAAACACTTGGGCTCGAAAAGTTACTTTTCCATCATCATTAACGGGATCATCGCCATCACCTTCCGGGAAAACTCTCACCACTTTGGATTGATTTATCTCTTGCATGAAATCAAAACCTATGAGAGGATAGTTTTCACAGCAACCCCATATGCGTTGTGGACGCCGTCTAGTATTGATTCCATACTAAATTGTTATGTTGCCGGATTCCATACTCGTAATGATTCCATATACTTGGTGGCAACATCAGCTTCCTCCTCCACCTGTGCAGTGCTATTCTTATTCTTAATTCGTGCAAAACAGCAAACCAAACCATTACTCCATCCCACTAACCTTAAAGGTTCATACCTCAAGCTTGTATAGTTGGGGAGGAACGACACATCCAAATTCAAAAGTGTTGTTTCTTCGTCAGCAAACAATGAGACTGCAAGGGTTTTATAATTATATTTCTCAGTGCTAATTCCCGAGACTAGGAGAGAACAAGGATTGTTTGCAGATCGAGAGAGACGAAGGTGTCTAGCAATGAAATAAGAACTTTTGGTAAGGGCATACCACTCTTTCGAGACACATGTAAACCTAATCACATATTGAATGTTTTATGTATATTTCATGTCTGAAACCATTACAGATGCAACATATATGGGAGAACCGAAAGCAACATAATGATGACCTCCAACATAATGATCTCCAATCCCACTAATCTTAATCTATTATCTACTTTTAATAATGACACATCCCACTAATCTTAATCTATTATCTACTTTTAATAATGACACATCCAATACTCCCCCTCAAGCTGGATCCAAAAGGTTGATAGATCCAAGCTTGCCAAGAAGAAGCTGAAACTGATGAGAGGCCAATGATTTTGTGAATAGGTCCGCAAGTTGATCCGAGCTCCTTACAAAATGCGTTTGGATAACCTGAGATTGAACTTGTGTACGAACATAGTGACAATCGACTTCAATGTGCTTGGTTCTCTCATGAAAAACTGGGTTGGAAGCAATGTGCATTGCAGCCTGATTGTCACAGAAAAGGGACATGGATTGATGATTGAAAACACCTAAGTCACACAGTAAACCTTTGAGCCAGATTAGTTCACACGCAGTAGATGCCATTGCCCGATATTCTGCCTCAGCACTGGATCTTGCAACGACAGTTTGTTTTTTGCTTTTCCATGAGACAAGGTTGCCTCCCACAAACGTGCAAAATCCTGTTGTAGACTTACGATCAATGGAATTGCCAGCCCAATCTGCATCACAATAACCTGTAATCTGAGTGCTTGCATTTTTCTTCATGATTATACCACGTCCCACAGAACCTTTTAGATACCGAAGTATCCTTTTGACTAGGTTAAAGTGCTCCATCGTGGGAGAGTGCATAAATTGGCTAACAATACTGACAGCATAGGTAATGTCGGGCCTTGTGATGGTCAGGTATATCAACTTACCAACCAACCGCTGATAATAACTTATGTTTGGAAGAGATTGACCCTCTAAGCTGACCTTAAGTTTAATGTCAAGAGGTGTAGGGACCGGTTTAGCATCACTCATGTTTGCTTCCTTAAGGAGATCCAGAACATATTTGCGCTGGATAAGGAAGAAGCCCTTGTGAGATGTAGCCATTTTGATGCCAAGGAAGTATCTCAGAACACCAAGATCTTTTATTGCAAAGCATTGCTGAAGGGAGTGCTTGAGTTCTTTGATTTCTTCAGGGTTATCTCCGGTGATGATCAAGTCATCAACATACACAAGAACAACCAATGTACCAGCGGTGCCTGAGCGTACAAATAAAGAGGAGTCCGCATTGCTTCTTCCAAAACCAACACTGATAAGGACTGAACTGAGCTTAGCATACCAGGCTCTCGGTGATTGTTTAAGACCATAAATTGATTTGTGCAGTTTACACACAACATCCTGTTTATGACTTTGAGAGTGACCCGGTGGTAATCTCATGTAGACGTCTTCTTCAAGCTCACCATGTAAGAAGGCGTTTTTTACATCCATTTGATACATAGGCCATCCTTTGTTGACAGCCACAGACAAGAGTACGCGCACTGTGTTCATCTTTGCAACGGGGGCAAAGGTTTCCTTGTAATCCACATCAAATGTTTGAGTGAAGCCACGGGCCACTAATCGTGCCTTGTGTCTTTCAATAGACCCATCCGAGTTGAATTTAATCTTGTATAGCCACCTGCAGCCTACTATCTTCTTTCCTTTGGGCAGTGGCACAATGCTCCAGGTTTTATGTTGATCGAGTGCATGCAGTTCATCCTGCATTGCTTGCTGCCACACTTGGGATTGGTTAGCTTCTTGAAATGATTGAGGCTCTTCATGCGCAGATATATTACTCAAATAGGCAGTGTAATTATGTGACAACTTTTGATAAGAACAGTAGTTGGATAAGGGGTGCTTGAGCTTGTACGTAACAAAGTCTTGCAGTCTTGCTGGTGGGTGCCTCTCACGAGTTGGATTTCGTCGAGGTATGGTAGGAAGAGACTCTTCTGAAGGTTCTTCAGGACCAATACTACGTAGAGTTTCATCTTCTACAGGCATGTTGCTGTCGTCATATGAATCCGGTTGATTTGGAGCCACAAGATCCATTGTGTGAGTTTGATCACCCGCATTGTTGAGTATCTCAGTCCTTGGCAGTAGAAACATGTCCAAGATAATCTCCCCCTGACTTGTACTATCCAGAGACTTATTGTAATAAAAGTTAGTTTCATGAAATTGAACATCCTTTGAAACAATTAGTCTCTTAAGTTGTGGATTATAACACTTATACCCTTTTTGTGTGGACGAGTAGCCAAGGAAAATGCATTTAGTTGCCCTAGGATCAAGTTTGTTTCGATGTAATGACTGAACATGAACAAAACAGATGCATCTAAAGACTTTAAGGTGAGACAAGTCCACCTTTCTATTCTTGACTATCTCTATTGGGGATTTGAACCCCAAAACCCTACTAGGTAATCTGTTGATCAGGTAAGCTGCTGTCATGACGCTTTGAGACCAAAAACGTTTTGGTACATTCATTTGTAACATCAATGCCCTAGTTTTTTCAAGGAGATCTCGGTTTTTTCTCTCGGCAACACCATTTTGTTGGGGTGTGCCAACACAGCTAGTTTGATGTATGATGCCATTGTTGCTCAAATATTGAGTCATGACTTGAGACATGTATTCTGTGCCATTATCAGACCTTAGGGTTTTGATTTGAGAAGAAAAATGATTTTTGACAAGGTTGTGAAAGTCCTTAAACACTTCCATCACCTCATTTTTTGATTTTAATAACTATAACCAGGTGGCTCTTGAATAATCATCAACAAAAGTTATGAAATATTTATAACCATCGAAAGATTCATTTGTTGGTCCCCATATATCAGAGTTTACAAGCTCAAAAAGATGAGAAACTCTAGACATCGAAGACCCTAGAGGTAGTCTTGTTGCCTTTGACAAATGACAAGTTTCACAGTGGGTTGATTCTTTGCCTAAGTCAGGAAATAAGGTGGATAAGATAGGATGAGATGGATGAGCTAGTCGTTGGTGCCACAAGGTGGAAGCTTGAATGGAGGTATGGATGGACTTTGACTTGGCATGGAACCCACAGGAAGAGCTTTTTGATATGTAATAGAGACCATCAAGGTAAAACCCCTTACCAATCGTCCTCTTGGTTATACAATCCTGAAAAATGACAGTTTTTGGTGAAAAAATGGCCAAACAATTTAAGGAATTTGTGATTCTTCCCACTGAGAGAAGTTGAAATGGAAATGATGGGACATATAGGGCCATAGACTCTATTTGATCAGATATCAGGTGGATTTTTCCCTTTCCTACAATCCTTGCACCTTCACCATTAGCAACAGATACATGTGAAGGATTATGTAGTTTCTCAAATCTATGTAACTTTGACATTTGATTAGTCATATGGTCTGTGGCACCAGAATCTACAACCCAAAAATCATGTAACTCATTTATTTTAAGAGCAGTTTGGAAAGCAGTTATTATACCTTTCGAGTCTGTCTGAGGTACATAATCAGCATCAGCTAAAAACCTGCAAATTTGCCCATCAATGCAGTAGTACTTCCATCTTCATGATCAACCGATCCATCCTCTTTTCCCTTCTTTTGTTGGAGATACGCTGCGAACTCCTTTAAAAGGATGGCAGGATTTGCAGTGAACTGTTGATAGGTATCAACATTGTTGATAGATGAAGATGTTGCAGTGTTGGCACGAGGGTGTGCTCGCCTTGTCTTTGGTGCGAATTTATCCTTCATGAAGTCAGGTTTGAGTTCTGGATGTAGGATCCAGCACTTGTCTCTCACATGCCCGATGTTGTCACAATGTAGGCACTTTAAATGAGGGTTTTTTCCTTTATATCTTTTTTCATTTGTCAGGTAAGCCCTAGCTTCTGTCACGTTGGTTTTTATACCATTGTTCATGACTTTTCTCCTTACTTCCTCACGTTGGATAGTTGCACAGATACTAGTGAAGGATGGTAGCTCCGAGTTCATGAGAATATGACTTCTCAAATCCTCATATTCTGAGCTCAAGCTAGACAATAATTGAAAAATTTTATCTTCTTCAGTTCTTTTAAGGAGCACAGAGAGATCAGCTGTGTGAGGTCTGAACACATCTAACTCATTCCACATGCTTCTTAAAGAACCAAGATGTTGAACAAAGCTTTTACCTTCTTGCTGTATGTTGGAGATATCCTTCTTGAGTTGAAAGATGCGAGCTGCATTGTTTTGATTTCCATACATCTCCTTCACGGTGGTCCAAAGGATGAGAGACGACTCGAAATAGCTGAAGATTTCAGCAATATTCCTTTCCATAGAATTTAACAACCATGACATGACCAGTTGATCTTTACATAGCCACCCTTCATATTCTGGAGAAGAAGCATCTGGTGCAAGTTGACTGCCATTGATGAAACCGAGTTTGGATCTTCCACCGAGAGCAAGACTAACAGCCCTTGCCCATGGCAAATAATTAAACTCATTCAATAATACTGAACTGAGTCGTTGGTTTGGATTGATATCCATTTCAGAAGTGCTTCCAGATGAAGAAGCAATGATACTTCCATCTGCCATTGTTTTTTGAAAAATAAACACAGCAGATTCGATATACAGAACTGGCTCAGGATGATGCCCGCTCTGATACCATATTGAATGTTTTATGTATATTTCATGTCTGAAACCATTACAGATGCAACATATATGGGAGAACCGAAAGCAACATAATGATGACCTCCAACATAATGATGACCTCCAACATAATGATCTCCAATCCCACTAATCTTAATCTATTATCTACTTTTAATAATGACACATCCAATAGACTTGGCAGGTAGTTTTGAGACAATTCTAGCAGGACCTCTTCGTGTAGCATATGACCCTCAGTCAAGGATTGTTTTTGACCTGTCTCTAACCATAGCAATTGATTGTTTCCTTTGTGAACCGCATTGTGGATTGTGAATGATTCATCACGTTTCTTCATTGAAGCAGCTGGGAAAACTGATCGACAAAGGCAAATTGGTTTGCAGGTTATCCAATGCTCCAAAAACCTAACCAGCCAAAGGCAAATTGGTTTGCAGTACTGTGTATGTAGGCACACATTAATATTTCAATAGGGGTCGTATTTTAACTAGGAACCAAATACAAACCATACTCGAGACAAATTCGGGAAGTAGGAATCCATATGTGAAAAGGAAATAGAAATTGATGGTAGGAGTAGGAATTTGAATGTGAAAAGGAAATGGAAATTGATAAAAAGGAAATACAAACCTTGCTGGAGACAAATTATGCATACACTCAAAACTCAATAGAAGGCACTGTTTATTAACAGTGTTTTGACGTAATTACCCTTCATTTGCTAACAATTCTCAACTTTTTTTTGTGTATTGTTTAGTAAAATCAGGAATTTACCCTTTTGTACGCTTGTCCGGCATCATAGAAAGGAAGGGGATGGGTGGCACTCTTCTTCTGCTTCTCTCGGGTGGATCTCTGGAATTCTCCTTAGGAGTTGAAGCTTTGGAAAATCAGCAACGAGCTCATATGGCTGAGGCTAAGAAGATTGCATCCCAGTATCCAAAGGAAGCAGACAAGTGCAATTCAGGGATGGAAACATGTGAAGAAGCAAGGGAGAAAGCTGAAGCAACATTAGAGGCACAGCGGAAACAGACTGCACGTGCTGCCTCTTCCGTTCTGATTTGAAGAAGATTTCTCAAGCGGCTATAATTTCATGGCAGGTTGGTTTAAAGCAGTTCCAAAATTTGGCATCGTTTGGGATATTTTTAGGTATTTCTGATTCTTGAAAAAACCATATAATCTTAATATTCTTGAGGTGTTACATACAAATTTTTATCAACAAAATAGTGTTAGTTTTTACGTTGTTTCGAAAATTATGATCAATTTTTTGCTACGCTGGCCTTAGATCAAGTTTTGTATGGTACTTTTAGTCGTTGAACAAAAAGTGCCACAGGTGCATGATCCTGCTGAGAATGAGAAGCTCTGCGTTTTTTTAATTGAGAAGGCGTTGGGTGCCTTCCAGAAGGGAGCGGAGAAATACTAGGAATCTTCAATCTACATTGGGTCCAGCAAAGGTAATAGGCATACAAAAGATTTTTTTTTTTTTTTTTTTTTTTTACTTTGAAAATTATTTTATAAGTAATGGATATGGACATTCTTTTAGATATTGAGGCTGCCGGTTTGTACTTACTCGAATCAGAGTCTCTAAGGAGGAGAAAGAGAAGGATCCGAATGGAAAGCAAGGCACAACATCGAACAAGCAATCTTCCATTTTGACATTTATTTAAACTTAACACGACTTCAATAGAAAACTAAACTTTAATTAGAGAAAGTGGAAGAGGAAGCATAGGAGTTTGTCACTACTCCAATGATTTATCGGTAAAATCCTCAAACCCAATTCTCAATTTTCAGTTTATTTATTTATTTTTTCCAGATCAGTTAATTCTTTTTCACATCAATTAATTCCAGTAATGTTAGGGGTTGAATTTTTTAGGTTAGTGATTTTCGCACATAAATTTTCTTTCTAATCATTTTGGGTGAAATAAATAGATATGGGTCTTCAATAAGTTATTTTTATAGTATTATAGTTTTATTTCACAATTAAATGATATCTTGTTGTTTTTTGGTAGGTTTTTCTGTGAGTTTATTTGCATTGCATATTTTGTTTACAAATGTTCGGTGTAATGTGGTGGTAATATATGCTATGATTACCACCATAGTCCAACTGAGGGCTTATTAATTTGGTAAATTATTTCAAATTTAGTCTCTGCAAACCTCAGGAAGGCTAATATTAAAGGGATGTGCTATTCACACATCCCTTTTTACTTCTCACACACCTCTTGTTAATTTATGTCCATTGATCTTCTTTAATTCATCCGATCTGACGGTCGAAAACTAAAAAGGTGTGGGAGAAGTGAAAAATCATGTGTGGATTCACATCCCATATTAAATTGTGGAAGTTGGACTATGGCTTAGTTGGTTCTATTTCTGAATTTCCTCTTCATTAAAATGTTTATTTACCTACTTTTAAGCGTTTTATTTATGTATCTATTTTTTAAAATGAATTTTAAAGATGTTATAGAAATTGGAAAGAGCAGCAGTTTGAGAACATAGTATGGGAACTTTGGGAAGGAATACTCGAAAGGAAGACCGACAATGTGTTAGCAGTAACTCTTTTTTTTAAATCATATTCTATTCCGTAATATTTCACTTTAGCGTTTGGAATAGCAACATTTATTTGGTGTCATCTAGAAAGTTTGTTGATGTATCATGTCATATGTTTTTTTTAAGTTGGAGATTTTGTAGGTAGCCAATTCGAGGAAATGGCCCTCACTTTCTAATTACCGAGCTAAAGTTCATGCTCAATAACCAAAGTAGAAATGATTGCTTCTTTGTTCAAGCCTGTGTTGAATAAAAATGAAGTTATAATTAGGATAGCTTCTCTCACCACTTACATTTACTTTGCCACATTGATATTTTTGTATTCTATTATCTAATTATAAAAAATTTACTTTTGTTGTATTTGTTTTATGGAGAGAATAAAGTTGCAATTCTTCATATAGTTTTTCATCCCACAGCAATGCGCGGGTACAATTTCTAGTTTATTTCTATTGGGGAATTTTATTTCAACCCAAACAATTATTGCTTGCATTTGCACAAAAATTAGATGGGGCATTGTTTCATTTTTATCCAATGAAGCAGATATGAATATAGTGATACGTTGCGACATGACACTACGATATGAAAAATCTTTAAATACTAAAGTACAATACGTAATAGTAGGACAATTAAAAATATATCGTAATATGTCAACAAAAAAAATATAGGGAAATACCCTAAAATGGGACAATTTTTTAATTTTGGGACAAAAATAGGACAAACTGGTCATGCGCAAGCCATGCACAAAATCAAAATTACTAAAATACCCACGTATAAATACTAAAAATCATCAGCCATTGCATCACTATTCTCATTTGGAAGAGAGGGTTGTGGAGAGAGCTTTGTGAGCTCTAGGTTTCTGGGTTGAACTCTGATTTCGAAAAGAGGGAAGTCCAAAGAGAAGCAAGAAGAGTGAGCTGGGTTTTGGGTTGACCTCATACCTCTGATTTCAAACAAAAGGATGTGAGAGAGAGGTGAGAAGTGTGAGCTGGGTTTTGTACCATATTTTCTGTTTTGGCCGGAACGTTCCATTTTTTTCCGGCTATTAAAGCTTCTGCAGACATAGTAAGGTAGGGTTTTTAGTTCCAAGTTCCTTCATCAATGATTTATGGAATAAATAGGTTGTTTGTAAGATGAATTAATACTTATAAGTTAAATTAGCGTTTGTGTTTCATGTTGGGCGTATGGGTTGTGGAATAAAATTTGAAGTTTTGATGTGCTACAAAACTAGGATGAAACAATTTATGGTTCAAGTGTCCAATTTCAGAAATTTGTGAAATTTTTTCCATAATGTGCATGGCTACATCTTAATATGAGAAGAGAGAATGTTCACTAGTTATGATGCATATATGTTGTGTCCCGAAATTTAGCGAGTATGCCCACAACCTAGTTGGCCTCAACCAAAAACAAAATTTAAAAAAAAAAAAAAAAAAAAAAAAAAAGCTTAGAGGACATTAAGGGTCGTGCGTGTCCATGAAATAACAACAACGAGTATCATGTTTTCCACATGCACGGTTAAGTGGTGGTTGATATGTAACAATTATATTTTAATTATATCCACTATACCAATATGTTGTCGTTAAAGTTTCTCTCGCTATGTGCATATCATGTGCATGTATTGTACATATTATGTGCATGTGGTGTGCATATAGTGTATATGGTGCATATTTACATCTTTAATACTCTTTGCATTGACATGTTATACTACTTTTTCCTTTGATTCAGAGGCTAGCTCTGCAAATACGAAAAAAGCGAACGAGTTTGTGAAACAATTTCCTTTGATTCAAACTGCAATTTTCAAATGCTTGAAATATTTGAACCCAACCAAATTTGATACCAAATTCAAATTAATGGATTTCGATTCTTCATGTAAAGTTTAGGGTCATTTATCTGGTCGCATCATTTTTTATTTTTTATTTTGAAGAGAGAGTTGTAAGCTTTGGGTTTCTAGGTTGAACTCAGATCTGTGAGCATAAGATGTGCAAGTCATGTACATGTCGTGTAAATACAGTACATGAGCGAACTTAATTCAAAGAAAGCGAACGAGTACGCGAAACAATTTCGTCTATATCATTCTCTCTTCCTTCTTTCCACTATGATTTCTCTCTTCTCCCTCAAATTTATCTCTTCTCCAAAAGGCAACTGACATTTCATACGTTTTTATTTCATTTAATTGCAGCAAAAGCCAAACCCTATTTTAGTGCTTGTAAATCTGGACTGAGAAAGGGAGTAAAGGGAGGGAGAAGACAGAAGAAATGAAGGATTTGGGTCTCCTACAAGAAACACCAAACCAATTACTTCAACTCCAAAAATACATCAATCAAAAAGAAAAATTAAGAAAACCTAGTTCACAAAACCTACAAGTGAAAAGGTAAAAATCAAAGAAGATGGGTGGGTTAGAGAGAGAGTTCTTGTGCATATTCGAAATATAGAGAAAGGAGAGAGAGAAAGAAAGAGAAGGATTTGGGTCTCCTCCAAGAAACACCAAACCAATTACTTCAACTCCAAAAATCCATCAATCAAAAAGCAAAATTAAGCAAACCCAGCTCACAAAACCTACAAATGAAAAGATAAAAATTGAAGAAGATGGGTGGATTAAAAAGAGCTCTTGTGCATATTCGAAATATAGAGAGAGGAGAGAGAGAAAGAAAGAGAGAGCTTGGATGAAGAAGATGGGTGGGTTAGAGAGAGCTCTTGGATGAAAAAGATGAGTGGGTTAGGTTTCTTCAAAATGGAATTGGGCGAAAGAGATTTTCTGTCTCTCTTCTCTCTGTTTCTCTCTCTACAAAATGAGAAATGAAAGCTGGAATTTTTGAATAACCTATTTATATGGGAAGACAATTTGGTCATTTTAAGGTGCAGGAAAAATCTTATTTTTGTCCGATTGTTGTGCATGGCATGTGCATGCCGTATGTCTTATTTCTGTCACAGGATTAAGAAATTGTCTTTAATATTTCCCAAAAATATATCGTAATATATAAAACAAAAATATATAAGTCTCATTGCGGAGAATTTATCATATTTTTTTTATTCATCTTGAAAAATTATTTCGGAAAATAATGGTGGAGTTGCAGCTGAAATAATGGTATATGTAGTTTTCTCATGGTCAAGACAAGGCAATTTCATTGGCAATGCTATGGAAAACCGGCTCATGTAAATTGATAATTTGAAAGTCACACAAGGTACAACTCGTCTTGTTCCCCGGAAAACCTCCTCTACATTCTACATCTAAATTTTGAATATCACCCGCCGAGAAAACTCTCACTACTTTGTATTGATTCTCGATAATGTAATAAATTTGTTAAATACAATGCATATACATACACATGCACATGTACTGTACATGCATGAAATTTTATTTTCCAATTGCAAAGCATGGTATTCCGTTGCTCTAATATATCTCGATAAGAGAATGCAGTTGCTTACATATTAGCCAATTTAGGGATTCTCTCGTCTTCACTTGTTCGTCATTATGCTCCTTCTATAGTTCTTCCTTTTCTGCACTCAGATTTTTTAGGCATGTCGGCCTACAGATCTATCTCCCCTTCTTCATGTGTGGTTTTCCTTTCTACCTAGTCTTTTTTGGATTTTTTTTGTTTTGTTTTGCAGCTTGTCTTGCAGATTCTTACTTTTAAGTTTTATTTTAAAGGGGTTTAGTATGTCCATCCCTTCCTTGTCTTGTATTTTCTTTTTTCAAGAGAGGTAATGTCTATGTTCCTCCTCCTCTATTTTTCTTTTTCAAGGGGGATATAGCTGTATGTCACACCCACTGGTGAAGCTACAGAGGAGTAAGGAGGAGTCCTCGTTGGAAATTGCCACTGAAAATGAGGATTTCGTCCCTCTGAAACTACCAGAATCTGGGTTGGGTTTGGTTCTGGTTGCTTTGTTGCGTGATGCGCTGCTGTGCGTTATATATTTTTTCTGTAACCCCCTAGGCCAAACGTCGCCGTTTTGGACTTGGGATTTAAAACGAATAGTGAATAAAAAGATGCGCTTTATGGAGCAGTGCCAATCAGATGTGAGATTGTAGGGATCGCCTGATGAATTCCACGTGGAAAAAAAATATAGTAGTGTGCTATCCACACACCCTATTTTACATTTTACACATTCCTTGTTAATTTTTATCCGTTGATTTTCTTTAATTCATTCGATCCGACGACCGAAAATTAGAAAGGTGTGTGAAAAGTAAAATGAGATATGTGAATATCACACCCCAAAAATATATTGTTTTTGCATAGACGTAAAGCTAAGCATGATTTGTATTATATGAATATAACCAATTTTTCTTCTGGTCTCATCTAAAAAGAAAACTATAAGAAAATAAATATAAAAATTTTATCGTAAAATCAAATAAAATTTTACAAGATATCGGTTTTGTTTAAACTAGGAAAAATATAAAATTTTATGTTTCATTTTTTATTTTCCTGTGCTAAGTGGCAAAGGTTTTCGATGAAAATTGACTGTCGTATAAAATATGAGTGGAAAACTCAGGTGTTAGAGAAGGAATCTTTTCAAAGACAATAGTAACTCCTAAGAATATAAATTAATATTGTAATTTGATTTTGAATGTACCTGTATAGAATAAGATTCTTACTTGTATACCAAATATATACATTGTATAAATATAAGCCTTTGTGCAATGATTAAAATCATTAATAATATATTTTCTATAGGGTTTTTTTTAACTTTAATCATTCAAGAAGATTGAAATTTAAAATAAACCTGGTGTTAGATTACATATTGATTATAATCCTTTGATGTGTACTTAATTCAAAATAATTAAAGTGCATTTTATTTATGTCTCCCATTAAATATTTAAATTTATTAACATACAAATTTTAATTTCTTTTTTGACCAAAAAAGAGTTTTTTTAATTTATTAATTTTATTTAACATTCTTCAAACTTGAAGGACTCAATTAATTAGTACCGAAATGTGTGTACCGAAATGTATGTACCGAAATGTTAGTGCCAAAATATGTTATATTGAATTAATGTACCTAAATATTTGTATTGAAATATATGTACAAAAATGTGTGTACCTAAATATATGCATCGAAATGTATTATAATGAATTGAATGTACCTAAATGAAGAAGACAAAGTACATCGAAATATATTTTATAACAAAAATTAGTTTATCTAAATGTTTACAACAAAATATATTACGATAAATGAAATGAAAATGAAAATTATAATGAAATTAAATTAATACATTAAAATTTTGGAAGAAAAAGAGAAATAATTAAAAAATAAAAATATAATTAATAAATGAGGTTATTAATGTATCAAGGGACGAAAATTAGATTTTGATCTTCCTCAAGGTTTTAATCTAAAAGTCATCTTTGCCAATGATTA